CAGCTCAGCAGCCTGACCCAGAAGGCTTGTGACTCCAATCCATACCCTAAGCTTTGGGCTTGAATGTACTAGTCACAGTACTCTAATAACCTTGGCTGTTTATAAATTTGTAATAGTAAATCATGCATTGATCCAGGTCTGACTTGACAATCACTAGAGTACCAGCAGCAGGATAAAATTTCTCCTTTTTTTGATCAGTGTTAAATGTCCATGAACTTGTGAATCATAGTATTTATAAGTAGCTAGCTTTGCTTTGAAACTCGGCCCCTCCCTCCTGGTGTAATACTTATTGGATCTGTCAACTACAGCTGAACTTCACACATGCACACCTGTCTTACTTCTCCTCCCACTGGCAGCCCTATCAGAGGGTCTAATCCTGATCATCAAAGCAGGATAGAATGTACCACTGGTCATGTTCAGAGGAAAATTGAGCAGCATTCAGATAGTGTCCAAATTTTCTCTAGGACTCTGACTCATTGTTAAGAACCATGCTCAAAGGAGAGAGAGACTGACTCAGAGGGGCTTGGCCTCAGCTTGTATGCTGTACCCCTTACCTGAGTATGTGCCCTTCATTTCAGAGGAAGTCTGATGATGGTCTGACGAAGTCCGGAGGACTTCTGGAGGCTGGCTACTCTGGTGGAGAGTGTGGGAGGACTTTGAGAGGAGCATGGGAGAGTTCCAGAGGAATGCAGGAAGTGCTCAGGAGAGTTCCCACTGCAAGGTAATACTTCTACAGGAAAACAGGATGGAAGGATAGGAGGTCCAGAGGTCCAGAGTATGGAGGACAGGAGGTCTGGAGGTATGGAGGATGGAATGTCTGAAGGTACGGAGGGCAGAACGTCCAAAAGACAGGATGCCCAGAGGTATGAGGGACAGGACGTCCAGAGGTACAGAAGACAGGAGGTCTGGAGGTCCAGAAGGAATAGGGGCTACATTGGACGAAGTCCAATGTAGAAGCAAACAGAGGTAGACTACCCTAAGGTAGAGTCAGAGGGACAGGAAGTGGACCTAAGTCCAGAAAGAGGGTAAGTGCTGGAAAGGCAAGACTCTAGCCTAGGGAAGCAATCCCTAGACTTGGGACAGAGACATAGGGGACAGATCCAAAGGTCCGGAATTCCAGCCTAGGGAATCCTTCCCTAGGCCTCATGGAAAAGGACAAGACTCAGATGGACTGAAGTCCAGAAGATGATTGGCAAGTAGAACAGGATCTAAGATGATATTCAGACTGAGGACTCTACTGTAGTTGTACAGGGGTTATATACTAGAGGCTATCTGAGAGGATCAGTAAGCAAAGGAGTAAGGCTATGTACAAGCATGTGGAAACATATTGGTAAGTAAGATGGAACATAAGTAAATGAACTCAGAGATAAAACTAGTACAAGGATCAATCAGCAAGACGGAAACAGAGATAACTGAGAACCAGAAAGGTGGAGATGCCTAAATGGGGATAGGCGCAGGATCTCAGACGGAGGGTGGGAATGGTCCAGAGATAGTACAGTTAATATCCGGAGGTCCGGAGATCTGGGGATCTGGAAGGCAGGGTGGAAACAGGACTGAGATATGTGAGGTGGTGGATGTACAGTGGCTCAAAAAACTGTCCACATGTTTTTGCATTTTTTACTATTTACAATATTGTATGAGAATACATAAAGACCTCAGTGACATGCTGATACCATATTGTGGTGCTGCTTCAGGGCTTTGGATTGAGCACCACATCATGAGAATCAGAGGAGATATGGTGGAGATACAAGGTTTACAAAATCATGACTCATGCAGACAGTTTTTTGAGCACATATTAAAACTATATAAATCATCATTTATGACACCATAATAATCATGCCACCATTAAATAAATTATAAAGTGGTGTCATTATGTCATTTTAAAACCATATCTAACTATACAAACCAAAAATTTCCATATGTCACAGTTATATTCACCATGAAAGCCACCCCCCCTGCTCAAAGGGATAATATCCTCTCTCTTTCCTATTCTGGCCTCTCTGCTTGTCAAATTTCCTCTAGAACTGGAGTATCCAAGTCCACTGTGGCCAAGTTCATCAAAGAAAGTCACACAGACAAGGAAAACTTCTGTGAAGGGCGTCCATCCAAGCTCACCTCTACTGATAGGAGGGCTATTATTCAACATATCACTACAGGAAAGACTGATAATGCTGTCCAGGTCACCTATTACATCAATTCCACCATCACATTCCCTGTCTCTTCACACACTGTGAGAAACATTCTCAAGACAGCTCATCTCAGGTCAGTAACAAGGAAGAAAAGGCTTTCCTCTCTATCACACATATGCAGAGAGGACTAGTACCCTTCTTTTTTCACATATATACCTTGCCATCTGACCCAATCCTATTTATTGTGGTCTTATATGATCATATAACATGCTTCCATTCCATGTAATCCAATTCTGATGGGCTAAGGCAAAGGTTAGTCATCTCTGTTTATGTGTGATAGAGAGGAAAGCCTTTTCTTCCTTGTTACTGACCTGAGATGAGCTGTCTTGAGAATGTTTCTCACAGTGTGTGAAGAGACAGGGAATGTGATGGTGGAATTGATGTAATAGGTGACCTGGACAGCATTATCAGTCTTTCCTGTAGTGATATGTTGAATAATAGCCCTCCTATCAGTAGAGGTGAGCTTGGATGGACGCCCTTCACAGAAGTTTTCCTTGTCTGTGTGACTTTCTTTGATGAACTTGGCCACAGTGGACTTGGATACTCCAGTTCTAGAGGAAATTTGACAAGCAGAGAGGCCAGAATAGGAAAGAGAGAGGATATTATCCCTTTGAGCAGGGGGGGTGGCTTTCATGGTGAATATAACTGTGACATATGGAAATTTTTGGTTTGTATAGTTAGATATGGTTTTAAAATGACATAATGACACCACTTTATAATTTATTTAATGGTGGCATGATTATTATGGTGTCATAAATGATGATTTATATAGTTTTAATATGTGCTCAAAAAACTGTCTGCATGAGTCATGATTTTGTAAACCTTGTATCTCCACCATATCTCCTCTGATTCTCATGATGTGGTGCTCAATCCAAAGCCCTGAAGCAGCACCACAATATGGTATCAGCATGTCACTGAGGTCTTTATGTATTCTCATACAATATTGTAAATAGTAAAAAATGCAAAAACATGTGGACAGTTTTTTGAGCCACTGTATCAACTCATCCACTTTTAGTACACTCCTTTGACAATAGGTGTGCACTCCTCCCATGACCTGCACTCCCATTTAGCTTCAGTCCAGTCCTAGGAATCCATCCTCCCATGTCCTATCCATGTCCACCTATTTCTGCTGGTGCATTATTTTCCCAAACATCATTGCTAAACAAGCTGCAGGTTGTATTACATGTTACTCACGTCCTGCAGCACATGATGTTTTATTACCTATAGACTTGTCATACGCTCACTTACTACACTACAATTCTCACCTACACATTCTGGACCTTCACACACTATGATAAAATGACCATAGTACATATGATTGAGTTAGTTCCCTTTCCCCTGGACTCAGCTCTATAGAAGAGTTGCTCTTGCATTATTTTTGTAGACCTTGTGCAATTCAACTGCCCTGAAGTTCTGTACCACTAGGACCTTATACTTAGGCTCTTGCAAGAACACCCAACCCACTGTGATGATCATATTCCCACTAGGCTTGCAATGGCCATCTTTTGATATAGGTGATGGAAAGGTAGCCCTCATATCATTTATCACTTCCCTATATGCAGCCTTCATTAGTTTCAGCTACAAACCATTGACTGATTTTCCCGCACTCAGCCAGCTCCGGACATGCATTCCCACGCTCTGTGGACCTGCACATTCACTCCCATGCTGCGCACATACCTGCGGTCAATTTCCCACACCTTTGGATTACCCTACAGATGTCCCATGTCAGTCCATTGTCCATCCTACCTCATTGGTACGTATTTTGCCTTGCCTTGTGTGTTGCAACAAGTGTTGCAGCCTTATTATATGTCTTTACATATTCCTACTGCCTGCCTGTCCTGTCCCTTCCATTTCCAAGGGGGTTTAGCTAGTATAAAGTGCTTAGAGTGACTACTTCATATTTACTTTCCTTCTACAGTATTTCCTTCCCTTAGGTTTTACTTAGGAGCAGTCACCATTAGTGCGCACTTTTTAGCCTCTATTGGTTATCTTATACCTGGACACCTTACCTTGACTTTCCTTACCCATACAATTAATACCCCTGCCCTCACTTGCTACCTGCACCATTCCTTAAGACTTCCCTACCCCTTACCCTAGCATCTTGCACCTCCGCATTCCTGCACTCTACATACCCGCACTCTGCACACTTTCAGGTCTTTAGTATCATTGGCTGTTCTCAGTAGCAATTCCCTTTAGGGTCAGGCATTCTTGCTTGCAAGTGTAGCAGCTAGGCAGAGCATCAACCTATAACAATATTTTTGGTTAGGCACTTTAACAAGTGTCTAGCCATAGTTGCTGAACCACACTGACTGGTAACTTAGCATGGTCCTTCTCTTGTGCTATTTCTCTTGTGTCCAGCCACTCTATCGAGTGTGGTCTATTTCATGTGTGTTATATCTACTGCACCAGTATCTGGCATTTGCTGCACTTGCACATATCCTCTAGTATTCATCTCATGTTTGTGATACTAACACTGGTTGATTTTTTGCCTGCACTCATGGTTGATTCTTGACATAGGAACTCAAAGGTATACATACAGCCTGCACTTGAGTTTCTTAAGCCACTATAGATTTTAACTCCTTCACTCACCTGCTTCCCCTGCATATATTCAAAGGAAGTGCTTCAATAGCAGTCCTCTCAGGCCAATCTACCAACTCACGCCTCTTAGGATAAGTAGTGCTAGTTTCTAACAGCCTAGTACCAATTTCTTCTTCACACTGGCCCATTTGTTGTGACCATGTGAGGTATATCTCTGTAAACTGCATCCCAGGTGTCCTACATGGTAGTGCAAAGCATTGTCTCTGACTTGAGTCAACCCCAGACTTCATCTTGATCTCCAATGGCAGAAATGAGAGTAGGAATGAACATGACACTCCACCTAGTGACTGCCTGAGAACCTCCAGGAAGGTTTTTGATCCTGTAAGCAGAACAAGGGAGGATTTCCACTTCTACAGGACCCAATGTGGCACCAGAACTAGCACTTGAGATGCTGGAAAGACTACAAGTATGTGCAATGGAAGACTTTGTCCACTTTGTCACAGGAGCTTTGTGTTTGATGCCAACATTAGTCTGCATTATGTGTAGTCAGTATAATTTAAATATTAATCATGAAAGCATACTACCATGAATGTGACCCACAAAGATACTGGTTCAGATTTGATCTTGACAATGGGCTTGATGTGACTCATGAACCCAACTTCAGATGAGAGCAAATCTTCCTCAATCATGGAGGCACAATCATCAACAAAGTCATCACCGACCATGATGTCATCCTCAATTGTGTCATCCTCAATTGCATCATTGTCAGTCAGGTCATCCTCTATGTCTGCAAGTTTGTGCTTGACACTCATTAACAGAGTCATAGGGTAGGATGCTGGTGTTCGATTGAGAGCCACAGCTCAGTGAATGTCATCATCATAATATCCTTTGGGCACCTGCATAGAAGGAGGAGGTTCAAGATCAGATTCCATATCAGTGTCAGATGCATAGTCGATGAGGGATGCTGCTGCTGGGTGAGCCACCTCAACATTCATATTGCCATTATCATCAGTGACTGTGTCAGGCTGAAGTGCATTGAGCTGTTTAGGGGCCAGGTTGGTGTTGTGATAGGCTAAGTTTGTTTAAATTGAAGTGTTAGGGACCATAGAAGAAATCTTGACACCCTGGTAACATAATTAGCATTGACACATCAAGAAAAAATTAAATAAATGAACTCACCTAAGTGGCCCCCTTTTGTTTGGACATACAGGCAAGGGCCTGAGAGTACTTAACTGATTCATCCAAATTGTTGTCTGCAAACAGAGTCACAAAATGATCTGCCATGCTATCAGCCCCAGCACTGGTGATAGTATTGATGGGTGTGAGTGGGGCACCACTGCTACTAACAGTACTCCCCCTAATGAGTTTAGAGGAGGGAGCAATACTAGAGAAGTCAGAAGGCATGGTGGATGGTTGTCTGTCCTTCAAGGCAGCGGTGTCAGAGGAAGGCTTTGCAGGGATGCTTGACCTCCAATGCAAAATATGCCCAGCAGCAACACCAAATTTTGTAGGACCTGCTGTAGAGCTATCATCACCATGAAGTGTTAAATTGAAAAAGAAAAGAGCCATCTCAGTCAGATGGTGCATTATGGTTGAGAAGCTCCTTACACATCATCAGACTTCTTATCATTGTCATGTGGCATTGTTGATTCATTGATAAGACCAGCTGCTTCAATTGCATCTCTCACTGGCATCTTCACTGGTAACACCATTCTCTTCCCCTTCTTTTGCATGCTCCAGGCACTCACACCTCCTGCTCTTCATCCTCTGTATCACTCTCAGGATGTTTGACATTAGCACCAGCTGCTGATTTATCTCCAGCCCTACCGCCCTTGCCTTTAGCACTAATGGCCTTATCCTTAGCCGTAGTTGAGTTAGAGGTCTCCATGGGTTTCACAGCCTTTTTTACAGGGCATGGGTGGGGATGAGTAGGTTTTGGTGCATCACCATGTATAGCAGCTTGGTCTGTCTGCATTTTTTTCTGAAATGCGGCAACATGCTTATGTCCCTCTTGTGTAGCCATTTGTCATATCCCACAATCCAGACTCACATTCCATGGTATTCCCATGCCTTCCAAGCCTATGTCCGGACCACACTTCATATCCAACTCATTCCCAGATCCCCTTCCACTGTGTACTCCACACCTCAGCAGGATTGACTACACTCCAGATTTACCCCTGAGCTCCAGACCTCCGGATCCTCACTGCTAGCCTGATCCATACAACCCTATCCTGTCCACCCTATGTGCACTCCATCCAGCAAGACATCTGGACTTCACCTCATCTCGGATTCCAGACTATATCCACCTTCTCATATTCTGGTCCTGTATCCACCTTGTCTTCTGGATCCCCAGATCTCCGGACCTCCAGATATTAACTCCAGACCTATTCCCACCCTCTGTCTAACATCCTGCGCATATCCCCATTTAGGCATCTCTGCCTTTCCAGCTTTCAGTTACTTCTTCTTCTGTCTTGCTTATTGATCCTTGTACAAGTCTTCATCTCCAAGTTCATTTAGTTATGTTCCATCCTACTTACTAATGTGTTTCCACATGCTTGTACATAGCCTTGCTCCTTTGCTTACTGATCCCCTCAGATGTTGTCCAGTATATAACCCCTGTAGATACTCCTGTAGTTCCTCAGTTTGAATATCAACTTAGACTTGCCCAATCCTCTCTTGGACTTTGGTCCACCTAAGTCTGTCCTACCCATCAGGCCTATGGATTGATTCCCTAGGCTGGAGCTCCACCTTTCTGGCACTTACTCTCTTTCCAGACTTAGGTCCAATCCCTGTCTCTCCGACTCTACCTTAGGGTAGTCTACCTCTGTTTGTTTCTACATCGGATGAAGTCCAATGTAGCCCCTATTCCTTCCAGCCCTCCGGACCTCCTGTCCCTCATACCTCCAGGCATCCTGACCTTCAGATGTTCTGTCCTCCTAACCCTCAGACATCCTATCCTCCTAACCCTCAGACATCCTGTCCTCCTGTCCTTCATACCTCCGGGCATCCTGTCCTTCTGTCCTCCGTCATCCTGTCCTCCTGTCCTTCATACCTCTGGACATCCTGTCCTTCTGTCCTCTGTCATCCTGTCCTCCTGTCCTCCAGACCTTTGGACCTCTGATCCTTCCATCCTGTTTCCTGTAGAAGTATTACTTTGCAGTGGGAACTCTCCTGAGCACTTCCTGTGTTCCTCTGGAACTCCCTTGTGCTCCTCCGGACATTTCCCACACTCCTCTGGAAGTCCTCCAGACTTTGTTGGACCATCATTGGACTTCCTCTGAAATGAAGGGCACATACTTGGGTAAGGGGCACAGCATACAAGCTGAGGCCAAGCCCCTCTGAGTCAGTCTCTCTCCCCCTTGAGCAACATGGTTCTTAACAGAGAT